ATGTCACGCAAGCAGCTTCTGTTAGAGTCAAGTTTGAGGCTCGGCTCTGTGTTGGAGTTTGTATTTGTGGGTTTGTAAGAGCAGGGGGGGACATGGAGATCCTCTTGGAACATGTAAGGGTTTTTTGTTTTTTGTTTCTTTCTAAAGACACGGCTAAAGCATGCCGATTAGTCGAATCTGAGGGGTTAATCTTTTATACACTTTCAAGCTAATGATGCCACCAAAGTAGTAGTGGTAGTAGTGGTAGTAGTGGCGTTTTGGACGGTTTAAACGTTGATTTACTCAGGAAAGATAAACAAACTGATGTTAGAGTTTTATGTGGTTTAATCCATCTGCTCCAAACAGTTGAAAGTTCTCTGCAGGTTACTTATTTAACAGCTGTAGTTTCTATAGAAGATTATTAATGCTTTGTTCGCCCACTTGTGTGCCTTTTCACTGCGGTTTTGGCACTTTCACTCAGGTAAAACATCTGAATACGTCTTGCATTACCGCTGGTTTGACAGAATAAGCAATCTGAAGGTTTAACTTGGACTGTTTTGCACTTTTCCCTGACATTTCATAGACTAAACAATCAGTAAGTCAAGGAAATGAAATGCCATAATCTGGGAAGAATCATCTCCTGCTGTTAAAGGCCACTGGAAAGTGCAGACTTTTCATATGACATGAGCTTTATAACGCAAGTTGCCTGGTGAGTTCCTGGGCATAATAGTGTTTGTAAAGGCCCTTGTGAGCAGAAGAGCCTGACAATAGAGCGCCAGCTTTGGAGGTCGTGGTAGATTTGTCTCTGGTCGGTTCTCCAGCGTTACCTTGACAGGCTATAGCAGCATGTTGAATAGCGTTGCGCTGCCCACACGTGAGCCATAAAGCTGGATATCAATCCAGGACTTAATCCCATTATTGCTGAAGAACTGCCCTGATGTGGCCACGGAGGAAAGACGCACTGACCTCCCAGATGTCCCAGAGGAGACGAATACCTCCAGCCTGCAGTCGGGACACATGTGGTCAGAAGAAGAAGAAGAAGAAGAAGGAGGAGGAGGAGGAGGAGGAGGAGGAGAGGGCAGAAATGAAAAGAATAGCTGTTAGCAGACTAACTGAAACAGTGGCTGTGTTGTCGCCCTGTTATCATCTTTAAAAATATATTTCACTTGTTGAAAAGATCATCTGAAAGTGAAACAATTTCCGCCTACAGCTGCGTAGGAAAAGCACACTGACAAGTCCCAATTTTCCAAAACATCACTGTGTGGTTGTCATCACACTGTAATTCCCCACAGAGTGATGTTAAATATTGTCTAATAGAAACACCACTTTGGGCTGTTTTTTGGGGGGGTTTTTTGTAACAGTTTAGTTTTTTAATTTGCTTTTTAATCTAATATCTGTTGTTACATTTTCAAGATTTGTTTTCTAGCAGAGAAACTTGTATTTCTAAAGAATTATTTAGGGAGAACATTAGAGAAATCCATTTCCTGTATGTACTTACTTATTCACTAAGTGAAGAACACAAGTCGTTTCTTCATGATCACAGTGCTGTCCAAACCAGCTGAGTTTAAAGAGCACTTTATGTTAAAAATAATCATGCTTATCTGAGTTGCCTTCATGCGCTGAGCTCAGTAAGTGAGCTTTTTTATTTCTAATACCAAACTTACTTCTTATAAAGCCCTAAAATTAACTTTACATAAAGCAAGAACCAGATATGTTTTCATATAATACATCTAAAGGAACCAGCTGACACACAGAGCTACCTGGGAGCTTTATCCTTAAACCCTGACCCAGCAAAGTTACGAAACCTCAGAGCAGGTGCCCACTGTCCTCTGCAGGTAACCCAGCCTCAGCTGAGATGTGGGTGTATGATGGGATTCCAAAGAAATGCACGTGGAACAGAAAGTAACATCATTATTTTATTTTGTACAAAGCCACAGGTTAGTTGGCCTTATTGGGAAGAAAATAAGGCAAATAGTGAAGTTTAACCCCCAACCACAGCGTTGCACATAGCCAGGCTGACCTGTAATTATGTCTTTATTGACATTATAATGAGGTCAATTGCTGCGATCGTAGATTTCAGCTGCTACTTGACTAAATGCCATCATAACCACAAAAGAAGTGCTTGTTACAGGTTAACATACAATTTACAGAACTTTGCACCTTTTTTTTAAAAATGTTTTACAATGCTAATGAGTTTCCTTCTTATCCCTGTTCACTGGTATGAATTTTTCTCTGTACTGAATGAGCAGCGAACCTCGGGATTAGCAAAGCTGCTCTGTAGCCCTTAGTTGTCTAAAAGCCATTAGCCAGCCCATACTGCTCTGCGCTCTCTTTCCCCGACTCACGCTGGCTCAGTTCCAAGACACAGCTGTGAAAATTACAGGCCTGCTTCATGGAAACATAGAAGAAGAGGAGGCAGGGCTGGTGTGGACGGGAGGAGAAGTGGAGCAGAGATCCACAGACTGCTGTCAGCTGTCCACTGGTCCACAGCTGCAGTGGAGATTTTAGAGATGGGGTCTCACTCACTTCTACTTCTGACACACACTGGGATTGTTTACGTGTGTGTGTGTGTGTGTGTGTGTGTGTGTGTGTGTGTGTGTGTGGGTTTTGATGGAGGCATTACAGCAAATCCTGTTTGGCCGCGACTAAACAGAACAGAAGTCCTCCCTGTGACTGACAAACGTCAGGCTCCTTCAGCGAAAAGCACATGGCACCAAGCGTCCTTCAGTTTGGCAGATGCTAAAAGCATGACTGAGACCCTGGCAGGTGGGCAGGCGGGCACCCCCACCCCCTCCTCACTCACTCCTCAGCTCCTCAGGCCTCCTCTATCAGAGAGTCATTGTTCATGATGATGATGACAATCTCTCACTGTCTCCATTCACCGTGCTATCTCAATCCATCACTCTCTTGTCTCTTGCCTCCTCCCTCCATCGCTGTCTCACACACATTCTCTTAAATATCCCTCCCCCCCTCTCTTGTTTTCCCCTGCTCTCTCACAAAGTCTGTGTCAAACGCCTGTATCTCTGAAGAGCTGTCAGGCAAAGAAAAACAGGAAGCTGAATGTGAAAGGAAAAAAAGCCTCTCTGACTTCTACTGAGTTTGACTTTTCTTCTGCTCAGTGAGATGTAAGAGGTGAGATTCTCTCCTCTCCTCTCCTCTCCTCTCCTCTCCTCTCCTCTCCTCTCTCCTCTGCTCTCCTCTCCTCTCCTCTCTGTTGCTTCACTTCGATCTTCATCAGTATCTCTCCATCTACTTCTCTTTTTTTCCCCTCTCTCCTCCCCTTTTGCTAGTCAGGCAGCCTGGCATCTTGCCCCGTCTCTTTGAAGCAGAACAGTAGAAGCAGATAATTACACTTCCTGTCCTGTATCTGCTCTGCGTTGCTCAACTGTCATCTTTACATCGGTAGGCTACACGTTGAAGACGATAAACAGCTTACAACCAGTTTTGAGCTCGAAGCGCTGCTCTGTGTGCATGACACATTCTCTTTTGAAGCTGCGTTTTGCCTCTGCACGTGTGCAATTAAGATGATTTTCGTCTATCATGTTTATCAGTTTCTTGGCTGTTTTTTAAAAGCTTCATTGACTGCTCCGCGTATCCCCCCCCCCGCCTGCGTCAGACTGAATTGTGCACCCTGTCTTCCTATTTCTAACAGAAATGTTTAGATTAAGTTAAAATTAAGTTTAAGATTAGGCTTTAAAATCTTTCCTAACCCATGCAAACACAATCACGTGATAACCAGCTATTTGTCACATTGCTGCTATCAGCCAAGACTGACACAAACACTTCTCTCGCACACACGCTCCCTTTAGAAAGCCCCTGGTAAACAAACAGTCTGCAGCCAAACAATGACAGGTTGTTAAAGTGGTTAGAGAGATATGCCCTGCTGAAAAAGTCCATTTTGTTTTAATGACAGGAGACTGGTGTACACGGCACTTCCTCTTCTGTTCTTAAACTGACTCTTCCCATTCATTAGCACTGCTGGTACTTTTTTATTTTAATCTCTAGGGTGTCACCCAGCTGTTTTATGTGGAGCTTTGTGCGGTTGTATGTGATTTTCATTACACCATTGTTGCATTCAGGCTTTGCTGGTGTGTGTAACAGTCACATTATCTGCTGTGGGTATCACTGTCAGGCTCAGAGCTGCTGTGCAGCCAAAACACTGTAGGGAAAATGACAAACTGACCATTAGTCTCAAATCAGCCACTTGTAGCTAGCCTGAGAGTGAGGACACCTCGGCTAAGAGTCATAAAAGCTGCAGCGAATAATACCACAAGCAGGTTTTGAGCAACAGTAGAAACTGTATTTGCATCAGCTCCACTGGTACACGATGTTTCAGTCAGTTTGAACAGGCAAAGCGAGTTGTGGACACAAAACCAGCATTGCGTAGTCAGGCAGCTGGGCAAAGGGCACATGACCGATCTGAATCAAATGCCCCCCCACGGACTGTGTTGAACCCATGTGGTGACATAATAGGTTGAGTGCATAGTTCAACTCAAAAGGCCTAAATCGTACATTTCTGTATCCTGTTTTTTTGCTGCAAGTTTATTCTTAAAGATCTGACCTGAAGGTATTATTTGTGCCTGTGTCACTGTTGTTAGGCAGTGCATTCACATCTAAGTGTGGCTTCCTAACTGCGCTGGCCTTGCCTTGCCAGTCCGCCACAGCAAAGCTTGAAATGTGAAAATCTTCCACAGCCCACCCAAACCTTTAGTCACAACCAACTCAAGTGATTTTATTTTTAAATTCCCAAAGTATTTGATCATATAGAATTTATAACTTAAAACTTTTAATTATGATTAAATATTCAGTTAAGAGTTTTCTAACTGAATGTTTTAGTGTGTTGTGTGTGTTTATGAGAAATGACCTCTCAGCCCACCTGCAGTACCTTCGCTGCATGATGTCTCATCAGGGCTTCACTCCCTGAACATATTGATGCCTGTCACAAATATTTAGTCTCCCGGTGTAGTGATGTTTTAGTTTGGGGATTTAAAAAAAAATAATAATTCACATTTGGGTTGCTTCACACTGGTTATATAAAAATATGGCTGTAGGACTGAAGGTGTTTGCTCACAGTTAGTGGGACATGATTGAAAATCTCATAACAATTATTCCAGTCATTAACTAGCTCTTTAAAGCAGCCATAATTAATATTTTTGTTGTAACAACAACAAGTGGCTCAAATGACTGTGTGCAGCCTAACTGCACTGGGACATTATTCTCAGTTTCTAGTATTTATCTGCTAGAAAATGACTCCTCTGAGGACTTGTTGGAGACCAGAAAAGAACAAATAAATGATTTTTTTGTTTGTTTCAGGCCAGTTTTTTTTTAGAACTGACTAAAAACTCATCTCCAGTGAATGAGTGCTCTGTAAGTACTTTGTGTCTGCTGAGGGTATAAATAAACATTTGGCATGAAAAAAAAAACAGTTTGAATTCCAAACTTTTCTTTAAAGAGTTGCTTCAGTTCATTGAGGTTTGTTGGCATTGGTATATCTTTGTTGTCATTTGGCATTATATAAGTACAATTGAACTGATTCATACGCAGCTCTATTAAGATCCTGTCAAAGCATTTCAGTTGGGCTGAAGTTTGGACTTTCATTGGGCCATTGCAACATCTTGATTATTTAAAGGAGCCGGTCTACAAGAGAATGGCTGTTGGCCTCACATTTGACTCTGTAAATACTTTGGTATACGGAACCATTCAAGGTCAATTCAAAGACTGCAAGATAACCAAGTCCTGCGACTGCAAAACGAGCCTAAACCATCACCACTCCACCACCACCATAGTTTTATGAGGTGTTCGTGCTGATATGCTGCGTTAGGTTTTCATCAAACGTGCTGTGCAATCTTCCGCTTACATGACATTAAACACTATTCATTTAAGATGTAATGGAATCAAAGGTTAGGTTTAATGTTTTCTACTTGTGAATAATCTTTTGTTTCACTTTAAATTGTTTGTAAATGGTTTTACATCCATTCCCAGATTAACTTTAGGTCATCAATCGATCAACGTCTTAACGAGGAAAGACATTAGCCTTTCCAATCTTAGTGAAGCTGACTGACTTTCTGTTGCTGAAAGCACCAGACCTGCAAACTGCCAGAACATCTGCTTTCATAGAGTTGTTCACTTGCTGATGATCAGTTAAATAAGTGCATTTGATTAAGAGTCTGGATGCTACTTATCCAATAATTCCTACAAAAGCAGGAAGGGTGTACTTAGTTTCCACACACTGCTTCTTCTTCATTTTGCTAAATAAGTAATGACACGGTGTAGTATGTCATGTTGTGGTTCATCTGAGGTTGAGTTTACATCATTTCAGATCCTGCTAAGGACCAAATGATTTTTTAAAAAAAAATTATCTCCTAATATATAAAAGCCTAGTAGTGGAAAAGGACGTACTTCCTCTTTCACATTACAAACGTCTCTTCTGGTAAAATGTTTTGGTGGGTTTGTTTTGTTTTGTTTCTCCTGAAATGATTGAGATGTTTGCTGTATGTCTATAGATCAGCACTGAGCGGGTAAGTGAGTGCATCCTGCATGTAGGAAGCATTTAGCCCTCTAAGTTGTTGCCCTGCACCTCTCCGCAGTGTGTTGCAGCGTGTTTATTGCAGCGCAGGTCACCTCTCAGCAGTCCATTCTCCCTCAGCTCCCCCCGGTGCTCACGCCTCATTAGCTCAACACACTCAGGTCCTTTGCAGCTGTTAATTACACACTGTAAAGCTGATATCAGCGAGGACAGCATTTATCCCAGTTAAGCTTGATTCTGACTTGTCAGTAACTTGACAACATGGTGGCTTTCCAATCAGGCTGTTGTGGAAAAACAAAATTGAACCGTCCGTTAAGCTTTTCTTTAACTTGAACGCCCACTGAGTGAGTCCGGCAGCCGTCAGTGATAGTCCGTAATTTGTGTGTATCGCAACGGGCCGATCTTATCTGTGTTAAGAGGTAATAAATGATGAGCAGCAAATGATCAGTCATGTTTAGATTGAATGTCTCATTAAGAGCAGAGGATACAGTAAATTAGCCTAATTAAGAGGGATACATGCTTCTATTTTTTTGATGTTATTCATGAGAAAAACATTACTAACCTACTACATTAGGCATTAACATGATGGATTTATAGCTCATTGCATATTCGTCATTACATAATATATCGTATTATTTAGTGTTTTTCCTGGGGCTCTATGTAAATGTTATCAATGTTGATTAAAATGTCTCTTCTTCTCTAACGAGATCTGTTCAGATGACTTATTTTGTCAACACATGGATGGAAGTTGTGATATTTTGTAGCTTTTACTTAAATGAATACAGTTTAACATGAATGCATTTAATGCAATTCATCTTTGTGCTTCTTTACAGATAAACTGTGCTTCGTATAAAGTCACAGCCACTTTATTAGGCACATCTTACTGGTGCTGGGTTTTGCATTTAGAACTGCTTTAATTCTTTGTGGTACAGATTGAACAAGGTGCTGGAAACATTCCTGAGAGATTTGGGTCCATATTGTTGCTGTAGATTTGTCGGCTACATATCCAGGACGCGAATTTCCTGTTTCCCCCACATCTCAAAGGTGCTCTATTAGACGGAGATCTGCTGGTTTTGAAGGCCGCTTGAATACAGTGAACTCATTGTTATATTCATATATTCACATTTGTGACATGGTGTGTCATCCTGCTGGAAGTGGCAAACAGACGATGGGTACACTGTGGTCATAAAGGGATGGGCATGGCCATCAACGATACTGCTCGCTGTGGTGTTTGTACCAACTGATGGTCAGTTGGTACTGAGGGGCCCAAAGTGTAACAGGAAAATGTCCCCTACATCATTACACCACCAGCATCGGCCTAAGTTTTGAAACAAGGCAGGATGAAGCCATGCTTTTATGTTGTTTACTTCTAATTCGACCTTAACATTTTAATGAAAGAGAAATCAAGACTCATGAGACAGGAAACATATTTCCGGTCTTCTGCTGTCTAATTTTGACATTTCCTGTTCTTAGCTGACAGGAGTGGCACCTGGTGTGGTCTTCTGCTGCTGTAGCCCACTTGCTTCAAGGCTGGACACGTGATGCGTTCAGAGATGTTTGTCTGCACACTTTGGTTGTATTATAAATTATTTGAGTTAGAATCAGATTCATCTTCATTTGGTTACGTTTGTTTACACAAACAAAGTTCTTTGCTCTCTGTATAAGAAAATAAATATTTTAAAAACAGACATTTTTTTAATAAGCAGATATAAATGGAGACCATAAATACAAAGAGTATATGAAAAGTAAGAAAAATACAAGTTACAAATTCTTAATCTATACAAACTATAACAAATTACAGCTGGGCCTGAATGATGGATATAAATAGGCTGAACATAAAGCAACGTGGACGAACCCTAGACATTTATTTTAATAGTGCACGCTGTTACTTTCCTACCAGTTGAAGCAGTCTGACTCTCCTCTGTCCTCTGGCATCAACACAGCATTTTCACCCAGAGAACTGCTACTCACTGAACGTTTTCTCTTTTCCTGAAGTTCTCTCTAAACTCTAGAGATGGTTACGTGAGAAAATCCCAGGAGATGAACAGTTTTGTGAAATACTTAAACCAGACAACCAACAACCATTCCACACTCAGACTGACTTAAATCACTTTTATTCCCCATTCTAAAGCTTGGCTAGAAGTTTGTCATCTTCAGGTCATCTCAAACAAATCTGTATGACTAAACACGGTGAGTTGCTGCCATGTGATTGGCTGATTCGATATTTGCATTTACAAGCAGTTGAACTGAATGCATCCCTATTTTATTATTAAAAGAAAACCAGAACATAATCCAACCTATAGCAGGGCTGCATGTTAGAATATTCCTATGCCTTTTGCACCCAAGAAAGTTTTAGTTACTGTAGTTTTATTTTGTTTTATACGCAATGAGTTGTTAAAGCTATTGTAATAAGCATTCTTCTGTATTTGAACAAAGGCTTGTTAAAAATTCAATGAATAGTACCTATTGGCATTATGTGCCTGTATAGAAGCTGTGGGAACATTAAGATGAAACATTTAGATGGACGTATACTTGTATTTTCAGCTGGTTTTAAAACAATTATTCAAATAGTCGTTTGAAACTTGAAATCCTTTATATAGTAAACTACACAACGGATATAGTTTGTAGTTGAATTGGGTGATGATATGGTCTTTATGGCTAGAATATTTTAATATTCCACATCTTTTATTCATGCCCACTTGCTTTTATTATGTTTAACTTACGCTTTTTGTGGATGTGCGGCTTCAAGTTGACCATCTAATGGCTGAAAGTCAGTCAGGTTTCAGTACATTCACTCTTGCTTTGCAGCCAATGAGGCAGAGGGGAAAACTTACTTATCAATAACTCTATTTATTTATTTTTGGGACATAAAATAGAGCTGGTTTCATTTGGTACAAATGCATCATAAAACAGACCGACGTTTCTGAAATGGGGAAATTGCACTTGTCTTTGGCGCATATGCACAGAAGATTTAAAGAATTAAAAAGCAAAGAAAAACCACGAGGAAGTGTGGAAAAAACTGTCACGATGACACCGTTTAGTCCCTGTAGGAATATTACAGTAACGTGACCGTGATTTTACACGGGGATGTCCCGGTGCAACGGCGAATGCGAATGCAGGCAGCGCATGAATATTATCTCCAGCTTGCCACTTCGGAAGTAGGTCACCGCTCACCGATTTGTTCACCATGTCTCCAGCTACTGTGGGCTGTTTGGTCCACGGATCGCTCCCCGGGTCCGCAGCTCTACCGAGTAGAAACTGATCATCGGGAAAAGAAACAAACATCACGGACGGGAGATTTTTATTGTTATTATTTTATTTTATTTTTTTCAAATTGAGTGGGTGATTATTTCCAACGGGACACGCGAGGTAATGGTGAATCGCTGCTGTGTTTCGGTCACAGTTGGAGATGACAGGGTCGGTGGTTAGGCTGCTTCTAACAACTCGGCTGTAATACGAGCCTCCTAATGATACTGATATTAACTAGCAGCTCCGAAAAAGCCCGATTGAGCGAGGATGGTCGGGTGTTTTCCATTCGTTTCCCCGCTGAGGATCTCTCCTTTTATTTCCTACTTCTCATATCGCAGCCTGCACTCCTGCTACGGCATGCTGTCAGATTAACACTGTCCACCACCACCACCGTGGCCAACTGCGATCTTCAAGAGGCGAGTCATTTGTATGTATTTTCTTTATTTTGTTGAACAGTGTGACTATAATCGTTTTTTCCTACCCAATATATTCGCGAAACAGTAGTGGATGTGGGTGTTTGTGTAACTGCTGGAGCCCGAACCTGTGTGTAGGAGAAGCGAGGTGTTGGTGTTGGTGGTGGTGGAGGATGGTTAGCGTTTGTTTGGTTGGTGGTGTAAGACTGTGGAACTGCTGATTTGCTCCAGGAAAGTGGACTTGGTTATATGCACTATCTGAAGCACAGCAGCTTAGGACCCCGAGAGCTCCAGCCTCGGGGCTGTTTCCCTCATGATGACAGCGCTACACCATGTCCTTCTTCTGAATGAGCCTGTGAGACAGCCAGGCAGAGCCGCCTCCTCCTCCTCCTCCTAATCCTGTATCTATCGGACTTCTGATGTAGATGAAACTACAGCCTCTTAATGTGCCATCGGCAGGGAGAGAGTCAAATCAATGGCAAGTAGGTCTGATGTGTGAACTATGCTCCATTTACTTTAAAATGCGTAAGATTCACACAGTAGAGCTGCACTGGCATTTGATCATCTGCCGACTAATCTCAGGGTCAAAAGGGAGTCTCAAGATATTTAAAAGGATTTAAAAGGAAAAAAATGACTATATTTTTACTCACTTTTGCTTTATGTTTTCTTTTTCTTGATATTTCTTCACTGCATCAACCAAAGTACTTGATGAAGTACTTGAATAATTCAGTTTTAGTACTTTACATTTAAATATTGAGCTTTTTCCTTTCCTACATTTATTTGGTTGGCGATTTGTGTGCAAATTAAGGTTTTTCTACACAGTAATACTAACAGCTTCTATTGTGTGACGTGTTCCTGCAGGACAAACTGCCTAAAAGTAGATAAATGTGTTGAATCCCAGCAGCAGGTAAATGCAGCTTAGATGTTGGGAGATTAGTAGTAAAACACAGCACTAAACAATATGATATTATGAATGCACCCTTTTACTTTTGAAACTTCGTACTGCAAGATACTAGTTTTAATAGTGTTACTTATGTAACACTTGGAAAGAAGGACTTTAAAATGAATAAATGTTAACATTGCAGCATTTTCAGCTTTTTTAATACTATAAAAATGAAATAGCGTATACTGTATATTCACACTGACGCTCTATTCTATAGGTTTGCACATTGAAAATAGTCACCGCCAAAAAAAGGATTACTTAAAATCATCAAATCCTCCTTTTTTGGGCTAATAAGTCTTTAAAAAAGCATTATAACTGTATAAGAATATAACAGTGTAATACAATATAGCAGTGTATCACATTAAGGAGGTTTTAAAAGATGAAATATTTTTGTAAATGCAGTATGTCATGGAAAGAGCCTTTAATTCTCAGCTATGGGATACATTTATTTAAACAACAACAACAAAAGTAATGAGAAAAGCGAAGAAGGCAAAAATGGATTTCCGCCTTTAGTCACTCGATGACCTTTGACCTCTTTGGATTCATCTGTTAAATCCTTGACCTTTCAAAGTAAACAGATTTAGTCACAGAGATTTGTACTCGGCATGTCTACTGTTGTCTTAAAGTCAGATAGTGGAGAAAAAGGTTTCCTGTGTAAAATAAAGATAAACAGGGTTTAAACATCCTTCACTGTATATTAAGACTCAGTGTTCTCTGTGAATGGGTTATATGGACACGGGGGATGTTAGAAAAAAACATAAACTGTTGCTAACAGGGATTTTTAAGACTTATGTTTAATGTTCCCTCAAAGAGTCGTAATACAAATGTTAATATTTTCAACTGTGTGTGTATGTGTGTGTGGGTGGCTTTATGCAGCCTACTGGCATTGCTGCTGTGCATAAGGCGGTGTGAGCAAAGCTCATCTAAACTGGCAACGTGTTTTAGTTTGATTTTCGCAACAGCACGAAAGAAAAGTGACCGTAATACTCTAGCATTAATTCCCTCCGCTGAAAGGCCGTGTTCTTTGTTGTGGTCAGCGTGGCGATGCTTTAGCCAGGGGAAACGATGATGCTCTTCAATGAGCTCCTGTCCTTCCACTGTGCATGCTTGTCTTATTCAAATGAAGTAACTTGATTTGATATCCACAGACAGAAACTCAATGTGAGGCTCCCTCTGTCCTCTTGTTATCTGAAAATTAAATTTCTCCCTCATGGATTGCATTTCACGGTTCACCGACTCATCCGCCAATAAGGGCCGTAAGACCGAGCTATGAGATGGTTTCAAAAACGTCCGGGCGGAGTTGTCCGCTCCGGATCTAAGTGGGTTTACATTGGTTCGCCTGGTTAAGCCCGAGTATGTTCCGTGTCGTTATTCATTTTAATGCACTGTGGCTTATAAAAAATTGTACTCAGGTTTTAGCGCAGAAAGTCTTGCACATATTTTATATTAGCAGACGGGGGGGGGAAATGACTGGAAAAGCAGAATAAAACTATTCACTCTATAATTAAAGAACTCCGAAAGGAGCTACACAAGGTTTTGGTTTAATCAACCTTTCATTAAGTGGGACCTGAGAGCAGGCTGACATAGTAAAAAAATGCACTTTGTTGCACACTTGCTGATAAGGTCAACTCGTGTAAATACTAGAGTGCCTTATGGTTTTTTAAAATATTATTTTACACCATTTATTGTGGGCAATACAGCCTTAAAATGATAGTAAAATATTTCAAGATGATGTGCAATGATATTTCTCATGACATAGAAAAAATAGCAAGCTACATTTCAGTGATGCTTGCAGTCAGTGTAAATAAATAGGGGGATTTTCCTTTTTTTCCAGTGAGCTGCTGTTACTGATGGCACACCTTCTAAATCAAAGTGTGGATCTACTGAAACAAGGTGCCAGCAGAAGCAGCATCAGCAGTATAGTGTGATAGTAGTGGCACAGCAGTATATCCAGTGACATGGCAGAAGTCAAATGTAAGCACAAAAGTGTCCCAGCTAGCTTTTTCCTGGAATTTTTAAGTAAAAATATAGAATAACTGCTTAAAACTTTAGTATATTAAGTTAACCTTAACTTTTTAACCAGCTGCTTAAAGCACTGATTTTCCACCGTGTAACCACATCAGTAATTTCCATCCACCGTTTGCTCTTCCTGCCATATGGAGTGCAACTAGCAGCCGGCGATGCTTGGTTTGAGTCATTTGTTTACTTTTGGGTTGCACATCACCAGCTGCTAGTATCTACTCCTTTGTAGCCCGGTTATAGTTGACGATGTTTTCAGCCTCGAGTGGAAAACTAGTTTGTTGTTTCCACCTTCGGCAGGAACAGTGTTCTTGTTTATTTTGCAAAGCATCGTGCTTTGTTGGAGGTTGCTAAAGTAGCTCGCCTTTTTTAGGTGCATGCCCGGGTTTGTCTCATTATTATGCGCACTAAGAACGTGTGGCGTTGCTATAACAGCAATATCACAATGTCGTGGACGATGTTATACGGCACAGCCCTATATGTAGTTTTTTTTTTTTTAGACTTGCGCTGCCTAATTGTAAAATTTTAAAAATTTAAATCCATAATTAAAGGCGAAATTCAAAGAGACAGCTCATAGCGTGCAGTGTATGAGATCCTTGTTTTGTTTCTCATAACCCTCTCCGGCGCACACGCATACACTCTCCTTGAATGCCCCCATCGCAGCCATTAAAGCCCTGTTGGAACTCCTAAGTGGTTCACTTTAAAAACAGGACAACGGGCAAAAAAGATTACAGCATGATGTGATGCGCTTTGATTTATAGAAAGCCAACATGAGTACAGATAATAAACATCACTTACTGTGGGCTTGTAAGAGCGTCTCACAATACCATCAGCTCCAATCAGTTGTTGTCAATCGTAGCCTTTAGAAAGACGGCAGGCGGTTGTTGCTCGGTGTTCAAAGGGTGAAAGGTTTTTTGTTTTTTCTGGTGATTTATAGGATTTTTTTTTTCATTAAAGTAAATGAGATAATATGCATATTTCAAATTATTATTAATGTCTCAACAGGGGCATTCTGGACGTAAAAATCCCACTCATATTCTCCATAGAGAGTTTGATGATGAGCCATAATGTTTTAACCATCTAAAGCAGACTTACTGCGACCCAAGACATTGTTAAACGATGGCATGTGCTCCTATCCGGTCGTTAAGTGATGACGTGACGAATCCTACTTCCGGGCCTAAAGTAGTCTGCGTTTAATATGGCTTTTGTGTTGTTAACATGTTTAATGTTTTGTATTTTCTTCTATTTGATCTCAAAAAGCTCCTAAAACAGTCAGTGATCACTGTTGACCTCCCTCGGCTTTTATTACGCTAATCATTTATTTAAGCTCAGTTTTTAAAACCTTAGGATGTAACTACAGCCCAGCCCATGCAGCATAA